CTGAGCAGGGGGGAGGCTATGCAGGGAGGAGGCTGAGCAGGGGGGAGGCTGAGCAAGGTGGAGCTAGTCTTTTCTGATGAACAGTAAGCACGAGTCACAACTCCTAGGGAGGTTAGAGGTCAGAGGTCACCTGAGTTTTGAGCTGGCTTTTCAAGGACCATAGGAATCTGTGCACGCAGAGGTCACACGGTGGGAAGGCGGGCTGTGGGGGACCCGGGAGACCTTGAGGAAATGGGGGAGAGTGGGGGGGCTCGGCAGGTGCAATGGCTGAGAAGCGGGGGCGGCCAGTGCTGGGAGGCCGCTCCGTCCAGGAGACAGAGCCCAGGGGGTTTACATGAGGGGGCGCAGGTCGGACCCGCACGGTGGCTTCAGAGTCCTTAGCCGCTGGAGATGCTGCCTCTCGATCCATTAGGGTGACAGACGCTTAGTAACCTGTGACCTCGGGCCTGGGCAGGAGGCTGACGTCACTGTGCTGTCAGACGCGCAATCCTTTTAGCAAATCTGCGTCCCTTAGAGCTCAGGCGAGCTGCAGGGTCCTGAGAGCCTTCTCCTCGTCGTGACTCAGTTGCCCGGAATGGCTGCTAGTTAGCAGCATCCAAAACCCGGGTGGAAACGTCAATGTCGACACAGGCTCACTGACGTAAGATTCCCTTGGAGACTTTGGCTTCTTCTCTGCTACTCTGCCATTCAACCCAGGACCCTGCTAGTTACTTCAATGGGAAAATGAAGCAAATCCTCAAACCAAGTTTATCGAATTTCCTTTTCCCTCAAATGATATCAGAAGCTTTAGAAGGCACATGGAGCAGAATCCTGGTTCTCTAGCCAATGCCCGCCCCCTCTTCTCTTTTAGAAACAATAATCCAATTTTGGACGGAGAGTCACATGACCAGCTAAAGACAATTCCCCACCTCCCTTGCAGCTAGGTGTGACCATGTGACTACAATTCCCCGCCCCCCTTGCAGCTAGGTGTGACCATGTGACTACAATTCCCCGCCTCCCTTGCAGCTAGGTGTGACCATGTGACTACAATTCCCTGCCTCCCTTGCAGCTAGGTGTGACCATGTGACTCAAGGTCTGACTACTGAGACCTAAGCAGATGTGTGGGACTTAATGGAAGATGACATCTGTGTGGGAGCTGAGTCAGCTGGGGACATCCTCCTCGTCCCTCCCCCCACTTCCTTCCTCCCGGGAAATGCTCTGAGTGACAGAACAAAAATCAATGACATTGAGGATGAGGGCGCTGAGTCAAGGGAAGGGGCGGGAGGGAGTGGCGGCCTGTAACTGACTTGTGGGGCCTTGAACCGGAGGAGTGTGACCGCATTCCCTTCTACAGTGAACACACAGGCATGGCCGTGCTCAGTTAGGTCTGCAATGGGACGGACCGTCTGATATGAAAACAGTCGCACAGCCCGGTCCGTGTGGCTCAGTGGTTGAGCATCGACCTATGAACCAGGAGGTCACGGTTTGATTCCCGGTCGGGGCACAGGCCTGGGTTGTGGGCTAAATCCCCAGTAGGGAACGTGCAGGAGGCAGCCGATCCATGATTCTCTCTCATCTTTGATGTTTCTATCTCTCTCTCCCTCTCCCTTCCTCTCTGAAATTAAAAAAAAACACGAAAAAAAAAATGAAGCCTCAGGGCATGTCCCCGCCCCTCGGCTAAGAATCCTCACGAGTGGAGAAGTCACTTTCCTGTTCTAAGGCCGGGTCCCCACAAGCTGCTGGGAAGAGGAGACACATGCTTTTACTTATGGGGTGGCCGGGGGGGGGGGGGGGGTGAAAAGCAGACTGTCCCACGGCCTGGAAACCTCGAATCCGGGACCTCGGGAAGGAAGGTGACTGGGGGCCTCGGTGCCCTGGCCCCGCCCCGCAGGCTGCCCACCTGGTTCCTCCCAGAACCCGAGACAGGTCCCCGCGAGCTGCCAGGACCAGGAAGGGGGAGCCCACCTACCTGCGGGCGGCGTTTGCAGCTGCGGCAGGTGTGGAG